AAGTGGCTCACTGAAGGGGATAAGAATACTGAATTTTTTCAGAAAAAGGCAAGTGCCCGCAGGGCAAAAAACAAGATAACTCAGTTGCAAAAAAATGATGGTACAATCAGTACTGATCCGGAGGAGCTGGCACGCATGGCTACTGAGTTTTACTCTAATCTCTATACTTCGGAAGGTACAATTGGTATGGAGGAAGTGCTCTCCCATATACCATCAAGGGTAGATGCTGCGATGAATGCACGCCTGAATAAGCCGTATAGCAAAGAGGAGGTCAAAGAAGCGCTATTCCAAATGTTCCCAACCAAAGCTCCGGGACCTGATGGATTCCCGGCGCACTTCTTCCAGAGGCATTGGAATTTATGTGGAGAAGAGATTACGGGGATGATCATAAGAGTGCTCGATGGAGTTGACTCACTTGAGGATATCAATCGTACGTTCATTGTTATGATTCTGAAAGTTGCTAGTCCAAAAATCTTAGGACAATTTCGGCCAATAAGCCTTTGTAACGTAATCTACAAGATTGCATCAAAGGTCTTAGCCAATAGGCTGAAAATGATTCTTCCAGAGGTGATTTCAGAAGAGCAGTCAGCGTTCATTCCTGGACGTCTCATCACGGATAATTTTATAACTGCCTACGAGAGTTTACACTATATGAAAACGAAAAGAGTAAAGAGCAATCGGTTTTGTGCGTTAAAACTGGATATGATGAAAGCGTATGATCGAGTGGAATGGCCATACTTGAAGGCGGTCATGACGAAGTTGGGTATTGGCCCGAGATTCATTGATACTATTATGAGGTGCGTATCGTCGGTGTCCTTTTCGGTGCTTTTTAATGGAGGTGTGCTGGATGATTTCAGGCCTTCTTGTGGAGTTAGGCAAGGGGATCCAATATCCCCCTATTTGTTCATTATTGCAGCAGAGGGTCTATCTTGTTTGCTGAAAAATGGCATCCGCGGTATCAAGGTGGCACCGACGGCCCCGGAGGTCAATCATCTTCTGTTTGCAGACGACAGTTTGCTGTTTTTTGAGGCATCAAATGACGAAGCAAGGAGAGTCAGTGACTTGCTGCAGGTTTATTGCAACGCCTCCGGCCAGAAAATCAATGCTGACAAGAGCTCCATTTACTTCAGTAAGGGAGTTCCGGACAGTTTGAGAGGTGAAATCAAGGAGACTCTAGCAGTTCATACTGAATCTCTTTCGGAGAAATACTTGGGTCTTCCAACCGATGTTGGTAAATCCAAGGAGGGATGCTTTCGATATTTGAAGGATAGGATTTGGAAACATGTGCAAGGGTGGATGGAGAAGTGCCTCTCTGCATGAGGAAAGGAGGTCTTAATTAAATCAGTTGCCCAATCAATACCAACATATTCGATGTCATGTTTCAAGCTGCCTCGTGGGCTTTGCAACCATATCAATGGGCTTCTGAGGAAATTCTGGTGGGGGAGTAAGAGGGGTGAAAGGAAGGCAACATGGGTCTCCTGGAGCACTATGACAAAGCCAAAGTACATGGGTGGAATGGGTTTCCGCGATATTGAGCTCTTTAACTTAGCTTTATTAGCTAGACAAGCTTGGAGGATATTACAAGATCCGAGTTCATTGAGTGCCCGTGTCTTGAAATCAAGGTACTTCCCGGAGGGAGAGTTCTTGGATGCGCCACTTGGGTCAAACCCATCTCAGGTGTGGCGCTCAATCAGGGAAGGAAGAGAAGTTTTGTCTCTGGGCTTGATTAAGCGTATAGGTACGGGAGAGGACACACAAATTTGGCAGCACAACTGGCTACCGAGGGATTTCAAGCTGAGACCGATCTGCTCTCGATCAGCTAATCCGCCCCTGTTGGTGTCTGGCCTTATTAATCAGTCAACCAGGACATGGAATAGGCAAGTATTAGAAGATCACTTCATTGCACCAGATATAGATGTCATTCTAAATATTCCCCTTAGTACACGAGTGCATGAAGATTTCTGGGCGTGGCACTATGATCGCCGGGGCATATTCTCAGTACGTTCTACTTACAGAATGATCTCCGGAATTAAATTTCAGCGAGAAGACTGGTTGGAAAATCGAACAAGCAACTCGAACCAAACGGCGACGAAGAATGACTGGTCAAGATTGTGGAAAACAGAAGTGCCATCAAAGGTCCGGGTTTTTGTGTGGCGTTTGGCCCACACGTCTCTGCCGACCGGATCGACCAGACACGAGAGGAAGATGGCTACATCTCCAGTATGCGCGATATGCTCGGCGACCGAAGATACTTGGCGGCATTCTCTTCTCAACTGCCGGATGGCTCGGTGTGTCTGGGCTTTGGGAGATGAAGGAATTCTTGAGCATGTGATATCAAATCAATCTGAAGACGCAAGACAGTGGCCCTTTTGGCTGTTTGACACGCTACCTCGACATGACCTAGCCCGTGTGCTAATCACAATGTGGTCTATCTGGTGGGCTAGGAGGAAAGTCATCCATGATAATGAGTTTCAGAGTCCCTTAACTACAATGAGTTTCATCAATCGCTACCTGCAGGACCTAGAGATCACCGCTGCTTCTTTACCGAAAGCAAACGCAGGAGCGCTGCCGCGCCGGGTGCGGCGGAGCTGGCTTCCACCGGCAGAATCAGAAGTGAAAATAAATGTGGATGGAGGTTTATCTCGCAGTGGGAACAAAGGTGCAGCAGCAGCTGTTTGCAGAGACTGCAATGGAACTTTCCTTAGAGCATCAGCAGTTGTGTTTGATGGACTCTCTCATCCTGCCACTTTGGAAGCGTGGGCATGCAATGAGGCTTTGGCCTTGGGCCAGGACTTGCATGTTCAGCGACTGCTAATCGCCTCTGATTGTGCCGAAGTAATCACCAATATGAGCCGAGACACCGCTGCAGTTTATGCGCCAATTATGCAGGAGATAGATATTCGCAGAAGGAATTTTGAGCATGTTGTCTTTCGTCATGAACCAAGGGAATGTATTAGTGAGGCTCATAGATTAGCTAAGGCCGCGTCGACTCTTGACGTGGGCCGCCATGTGTGGCTAGGGACTGTCCCGGACATTATTTGTATTCCAAACTGTTTGAACTTTGAATAAACCCCTAGTTACACCTAAAAAAAACTAATATGGCTTGTCTGAAATGATTTAATTTCAGACAAGCCTGGATACGTAGCTCTCGTAGTCCATCAAGTTTTTTGCATGTTGATGTAAAAAAGATCCGCATGGTCAGAAGTCATCTTTCAAATTATTTCATATGATC